AGGCAGATGACCACCCACATTGAGCCTGGTTCTGCCAGAGGTTTCTCCCTGTTAATGAGGGAGTTTTTCCTCTCCACAGTCGCCTGTGCTTGCTCATTGTGGGAACTGTTGGGTTTCTCTATGTTAATATTGTTTTAAGGTCTTGACCTTTAAATGTAAAGTGCCTTGAGATAATGTAAATTATGAATTGGCGCTATATAAATAAAATTGAATTGAATTGAATTGAATAATTTATACAATAGTAACATTGATGATAATAATGATGAGAGACGAGGGGAGAAAAAACTAAAAAAAGAGAGAGAAAAAGTCTCATTTGGTAAATTTTCTTGAATGTGATGTGATGTTGTGGGGTTGACCTTGAGTTGTAGGTAGGTATTTTTGTCACTAAAAATATTTTTGAGCAAATTTTTTTATCCAGAAGTTATCATCCAGTTATCCAGATAAGTCTTATAAGAATTTAGTGTTGAAGCTGTGTGATACCTTCATCTTTCCAGGTGATTAAAAGTTTTTTTGCCCTTAAAGGTCCAGTTTGTAAGATTTAGGTGAAAGGGATCTATTGGCAGAAACTGAATATAAAATAATCCTAGTGAAGTTTCACTGGTGTGTTTCATCTAAATTGTAAGAATTGTTGTTTCCATTACTCTAGAATTGGCCCTTTATGTTCAAATACTTTATATTTACATTGTACTTACTTGATTCTTCAAGTAAGTTGTTCTGGGTTTGTTCCTTCACGGCTGAAAGTTGCTTTGGATAAAAGCGTCAGCTAAATGAAATGTAATTAAGTTTAGGGTTGGACTGAGGAATGAGAATAAGGAGTAAAGTCTGTGACACCAAGAGTGTGAGTAGGGAATGGTATTTCTGATGAGAGATGATGGGAGAAACAAAGGCTGGAGACAGGGCAAAGGGAACAGGAGCTGATGATAACATGTGAAGTATTTTCCTTCAGTGCATTCTGGTGCCAATGTTGTCTGTGTGGTACTCACCTAAACGGAACTGGAGGTAGTCTGAATCGCAAGTCTGATGAGTCTCCAGGTGCAGGTCTTCTATGAGCACCACAATAGAGGAATTAACGTGCCGAGTGTTCCGGATCAGCCACTCACAGTTGAGGTTGTTGCTGTAGTTGGACACCAGGTACCCAGGGGAAGTGAAGTTTCCACCCGCTGGGTTGTTCAGGACTCCACCACACTCTAACAACACAATCTTAATATTAGAACCTATGGAGGGTTTATTGCAGAGCTGTTGTATTGGACTGCATAATGTGCACTTGTGTATTTGGGAGATCTGCAGATTTAATGAACCCAGACATTGATTTTCCCATAATGTGGGAGCAAATGGCTTCAAAGATATCGTGGATTTGCTAAATCTGCAAATCTGCTAAATTTGAAACCATTTTTTATTCAAACTATAAAACATGAAATGTACAAATATTAAGTCTCTGACACAATAGAGCATTTCTTTTTCATAATTGTTCTCAACAAGCTGATGTTTTGTCAGCGGCATTTGTCAATATTCTGCACACTCTTAGCATATGTATTAGGTCATGATGTAGATAGTGGTTAAGATAGCATCTAACCTGCAGGCTCCTCAGAGGAGTAAGAAGCCATGAAGCCACCATTAGCCTCGGATGCGTCTGTACGGAACACAACAGTCATGGTATTGCCAGAAGAGCGCACCTGGGTGCCTGCTGGTACTGTACCACAGAATCGCTGCAGTTGAGGTGCATTGTCTGTCAACCCATTCATTACCTAGAAGATACAGAGGCCATCATGGAAAGGAAGGAAAAGTTTTGGGCTTAACTGAAAGATAGGGGTGAAAATCATTTCATTTTGCTCCTAATAAAAACATAAGAATAAAAACAATTTATCAAACCCATTTGACTGAGCCCAAGATATCTCTTTGACAGATTACGAGTAAATTCAATTAGTGAAATACAGCAACAAAGATAAGTCTGTTTTCTGTCTGACATATATCTTCAGTACTTCCTGTCAGCAGACACTTACACCCCTCTTACAGACCGGCCCAACTGGTTGAAACAGATGGCCGCCCACATTGAGTCTGGTCCTGTAGTTGCCAAAGTCCTTGGCTGTTGTGGGAACTGTTGGATTTCTCTGCAATTGTTTTAAGACTTGACCTTACTATATTAAGTGCCTTGAGATAATGAATATTTTGATTTGGCATTATACAAATAACATTTTTTGGAATAGAATAGTCACTACTTTCCTGGACAGTATTGAGCCCATGGGCACACCATGTGTCAGGAAAGACTCTAATGACACAGTGCCAAAACGCACTCCAATATGCCCAAAACTCCTCCTTTGATTGTGCCAATAGTAGCCAGGCATCGTGATACTTTGCTTAGCAGATGCATTTGTGTCTCAGACACTTCTGTGCACCATACAAACAACCTTGGGCCGAGACAAGGGCCAAAGGGAAGAATGTGGTTCTCATAATAAACCCCCTGGAAAACAAATCTCAGTTACTTTCTTTCTGGGGAGTAAATTGGAATGTGGAAGTCTTTCAGAGTCTTTCAGATCAATGAAATCAATAATTTTGTCATACTAGACACAATATGCATGTAAGCATCCTTAATTCGTATGTCCTGAGAAATTCACTCAGAGCACATAATTCCATGATGGGACAGATCCCATCCTCCTCCCTGTTTGGGGACAAGAAAATACTTGGAATAAACGGTAAATGATCTGCATTTATATAGTGCTCTTGTGGTCTTGCTGTGCTTTCCAGTACAGGTTATTGCCATTCACCCATTCACACACACATCCATACAATGCACCTATGGGCAGCACTTTTTCTATGAGGGGCTCAGTATCTTGCTCCAGCCACAGCGCTCTCAGTGGTGAGAACAGTCATTTAAGCTCTGAAGCGAGATTTGGTCCAGATTTTGATTGATGTGGTGTCGTCCACACACTCATTATAGCAGGTGTCACAACCTAGTGTGGAAAGGAGGCTTGCTTTCCACACTGCGACATCAAACGTAACATTGTGAAATATATGTAATGTCTTTTATGCCTTAAAGTACAAATCACACAATAGAAATCATCTTTCTTTATGTCTAACCATAATTGTAGTTTGAAGTTGGAGCTCACAGTACCGCTGAACCCTCGACCACCACCCAAATGCATTTGAGATGAATGGAACTGATTTGTGACATGAAAAGCTTCATAAAACTTTCAATCCTGTTGTGACAAACTGCATATTGTTTCATTTAAATATGACGTGAGGAGACATAAGGAAACACTGACAGAAAGGAACTCACATCAACATAGTCAAATACACAGGAAGAACCAGACTCTTCTAGCCGTAGGTCGTTGATCGTGAGTGTGACCCGACGGCCTGGTGGTACTATCAGCTCCCAGTGACACACCCGGTTGTGTGGGTACAGGTTGGGGTAATTGGGAGAGGAGATAGTTCCAGAGGGAGCATTCAGCTCTCCTCCACAGGCTGCAAGAGGATGGAGAGAAAAAGAAAAACAAAGAGTTCCGTTCAACATAAAAAATCAAATTTTTTACTGGGAAGTAATGCCAAAACAGCATATTGGCTTAGCAAATAGTAACTGAGAGTATAGAGGAAATAAAGTAAAACAAACACTATAATAACAATAATATGAATAATAAAATGACATCAACAACAAGTGTATATAGTCTGTGTGGTTCTATTTATTTTTGTTTATTCTTCTCAGTTTCTCCCAAGATGTCTTGCTTTGCTTTAAATGTATATCTATTATCTATATCTGTTTATCTGTTTCTATATTATGAGTTTCTGGATTCCACTGCCATGACAATCAAATCTGTGAATTAAATGAAAGACCTTATTTCTCTAGTCCCTGTGTGTATGCCTGCATTTGGGTCCTGCTTGCCAAAATGAAATGGTGACAAATACTTGCATGCAAACTCTTTGTACAGAAATGTAAATGAAATGTAATGTAGCAGTTTGTGATCATGCAACAAGTACGTCTTTACTAATCTTTGAAAAAAAAATCATACCTTCAACGCTGGCTTCAAATAACAGACTAAAGCCAGCTGCGTTCCCACTGGTGTCACTGACAAACCTGACGTAGGCAAAACTGTCAGATGTGTCCACAGAGGCTGGAAGGTCACTGCCACAGTGTCTGCCCAATAGGCGCCCTACATACATAGAACAGCACAGCGAATGTATGTAATAGTGGGTCTTGATTTGCATCTCAGGTGTCACAAGCTATGCCAGGCTATGTGTGGTATGCATTTTCAAATTAACCACGACCAGCAGTTCTATTACTGTATGCACTGTATCTGTAGAAAAAGTCACTGGTAAAGCGCTCAGTAAGAGTAGTGCGATATAAATGCAGTCCATTTTATGTGTACATTCAAGGAATCATACAGATTCTAAATAAGCACTTTATTTTTGATCAAACATATTCAATTTTTGCAGATGCATTTTGAGATATTTGTGAAGTAAATGTAAAACCCAAGCTGTATTAATATTACATTTTTTATGTCATATAGAATTCTACCCTCTAGTACACCATTATAGAATTATCAAGTACAGTCTGGTATTCAAAAATACACAAATATTAGATGAGATAAAGTGAGTAAATGAACCAATCCTTTATTTCTCACCTGAGGCATTGTACTCTCTGATCTCGACATAGTCAGCAGAGCATCCTTGACTGGTCTGCAAGCTGAAGTTCCCATAGCTAAGGGTGAGGTAGTGCCCTGTGGGTCCCTCCATATACCACTCACAGTTGGAGCTGTCAGGATAATTGGACCCTGGGAAGCCAGGGCTGTAGACCATACCCCTCTGACCTATGTAGGTACCCCCGCATGTTGCTGTGGGGGATTAGAGATACCCAAATGGTAAGTATGTAAAGTTGACAGTGCTGTAAATGCACAATACATTATCTGCTTTAGGTTACTGTTGGTGAACCTGCTAATTGCAGATAAGAGTATTAAATGAGGGTTGCTCATGTTTAGATTCAATCTCATGTTGACAGTGCAAAATAATGTGTACCATCATTGCAAGATGAAAGACTTGATGTAGCCATCATAAGCAAGATCAAGACACAATCTGTAACTGCAGCTGAATACCCCTCACCCTCCCCTTCTAAACATTAAAGAAAACCTGTTGTAGTTGATTAAAAACTCAAAAGGTGTTTAGTTTGACCAGTTTGAACTTCTGGCAAAAACATGGCAGCCTTCATAGAGAGGTCTTGCTCCCAATATGAATACAATGTATTTAAGTGTAAAGGGCCCATTTTGGAGTAAAGAAATCATCAAATCTTACCTGAAGACCCCTGAAGAATTTAGTGATGAATTTACAGACATCTGTGTCTGTGTATACTTGCAGAGAATATGTCTTGCTTGTTAGGTCAAATATTGAGTCAAAATGAGAACAGTGTGAAATAACAGTGATGCCCTTACCTATGGAGTACTTTGCCTTGAAGCCTTTATGTGTGACGCTGGTGTCAGTTCGAAACCTAAGTAGCATGGAGGAACCTGTTGAATGCTGGGTAGATGGTCGGGTATTGCCACACAGTCGGGAAATTAAGTCAGCATTGGTGGTTGAGCCATCACGCACCTCCAAGTAGTCGTACATACATCTGAGAAACACATGAAGGAACACTTGAAAAACATGTCTTGTTTGCTGATTATGGAATATTACCCCACTAACCATAGATGCCAGGTAGTCATATATTTTAACTGCAGTTTTATAAGTATATTATAAGTATATAGGTTGAGCTTATATCAAAGATATAAGTGGTTTTGCGGTTTAATAGTCTGTCAATAAATTGTGTTGGGGAAGTCAACCCAGTGTGGGTTAAATTAGTGTGTAGTCGTGTTAAAATCCAGCCCCAACTCCTTAAGGTCCCCACACTTGATGCATGTTGTTGCTGAGGTTTGCTGTGCTGCAACCAAGGTGAAGAACTGGTAGCACCCCTGAGCACTCCTCTGTTGGTTTGCTTCTAATTGTAATTTAAGGAGTTTGGTGAATGATATTTTACATTATTGTAATAAAATTATATTTTTGTTCTCCTACCTGGTTAAATTGTTTTGTCTATTAACCCATCTATTATTTCTCCCCAGCAGTTCCAGCCCCTGCTATTCTTTGTTATAACTGAGAAAACACATCTCTGCCTCTTATCAGTACCAGTCTGTGCATTTTATCTGTTTCCAGAGAAGGTCCTTAAGACAGTAGATCCTGTGGTGCAACTCCCCAGATGACATAGATGATCACACCTCATTCATCTGTTTGTTGCCCCCACAAGAAAATCATGAGATGAAACCCTCTGCCAAAAAACAGTTAATCTAAGCAGGCATAATTTTTCAAATTGCAAAAGTAGAAAAGGTAGCAGCTTTACTGGGTCGTGGTCTCAATGTAGAATTCATCCTCAAAGTCGATTTGGACAGCTTCTCCATTGGGAACAGTGATGACCCAGATACAGTCAATGTTTTGGGGGTAGTTTTGAGGATAGTTGGGTGAACTTATGTACCCTGGAGGGTCATTGTCATTCAGCTCAACGAAGCCTCCACATGCTGCAAAAAGGGAGATAGAGCAGGTTTGTATGTTTCCTTAAACATAAATTCAACACGCCAGTAAAATTAATGAATCAAATAATTCCTGAAGTGGTACCGGAAAAAAATTGTTTATGCAACACTATGCCACTTTCTGCTTTTAAAATTATTTGGATGGTAGCATGATTTATAATAGGGAAAATTATGCTACTTTCAAATACACTCCTTACCCCAGACATATCTTCTTGCACTATGTAACTTTGGTTAGACCAAAATCATGTGGAGAATGTAGTCATCTGCATTATCATTGCCAATAGTCTCACTTTCTACTAACAAATACTGAGTTTTCAAACAAAAATGGGGCTAGCAATTTTAGGGGCTTGAAAACTTCGGAGTAGTATGAACACAAAGTGAAAACAGTATTTTATAGAACAATGATTGAAGTGAGGTGGCCGTACCCTGACTGTGGGCCTCAAAGATCAGCTCAAAGCCACTGGCCTCATTATTGCCATCTGACACAAAGTGAATGGAGAGTTGGTTGTCAGTTGTCTGGAGAAGGGATGGGGGACTTGTACCACAGAGACGTTGACCCAGTAATGGAGAAGTGCCATCTGGACCATTCCTTAGCTGTGGAGACAGCAGCAAGTGAATAATAACCATAAATAAACAATTGAATAGCTGATCATGAACAGTGGATCAAAGACCTCAGACAAATTAAAAAGCTTAACAGAAAAGAAAGTTGCATGTACACCAAATACATGGGCAGAGTTGTTTGATAAGTAGAAAGAACAATTTGTTCATGAGACCAGTCCGTTGGTCTGGTTTTGGCTAATCTATTTTCAAAATCAACAATTTATCAAGAGCATATGTATATGACAAGGTATAAAACTGGACAACACATCATCACTTCCTCCCACTATCCAGAAATATAGCCAAAATATCTTGGGTACAAATAGTAAATGGGAATGATCAATTTATTTGTATAATTTTTTATACAAAATGTGGTATTGTGTAAACAAATTTTAAAATACTGAAAATGAATACATATTTGTTATCTATGATTGGGACTAATGTTGTTTGATAAAACTAATTTATTGAAATGGAAAAATAATATTAATATATATAGTTTTATAGCAGTTTTAGGAAGTGGACTAACCCTTAGGGTTAAACGTTCATGGGATCAGCAAGTGGACTTCTTGTAACATACATATTTTATACATTTTTGCTCTTAATATGTTGTTTACCTCAAGGTAGTCTCCTGAGCTGCACCCAGTTCCATAGCCTTGAATCTGGAAGGGGCTCTGGAAGGTGACAGAAACCCTGAAGCCAGGTGTCACCATCACATGCCAGGTACAGTCCAGACCAGGCATGTAGTTCTGGGGGTGGTGCGGACTGCTCACCACACCCCTGTCTACATGCAAAAGACCACCACAACCTGAAGACAGAAAAGTATAAACATAATTATTATTAATAAGGTAATTATTACAGCTGTGACAGTAGTAGATTGTGACAGGAAATGTGTGGTAAAAGAAATGTTACAGTCCAGTATTGAGTGTCAAGTTGTGTTTGCCATCACTCCCTATTGACTACAATGTAATTATGTTTTTACTGCATGTCCATGGCAAGTGCACTGCTTTTTGCTACACCATTCTAACTGGACAATTAAGAAAAATGGGACTATTCTTCTCAGTGGTAAGATTAAGTGACATTTTGTGTGTGAAAGGTTCCTTAGCTAATCAAAGACCTAGGCTGTTATAAAAAGCTGCATTACTTTCGCTCTTTTCCTCTGTGCATCCACTTACATTTTCTGTTCATTTGCACTCTTCAACCTCGACCACACATGTCTCACACATTTAATCCTTACAGGGAAATTGATGAGCCACATATTAGCATGGACTGTGTCAAAGTCACTGCTTTACACTGCAGAGAGCACTCCCTACTTTTAACTGGTGGTGGCTACTGGCATATCTGGCATATGTTTTTGTTGTACAATACTAATAGAATCTTGTGTATGTTTATTAATTTGCTTCTGGTGCTTGACCTCTGGAGTAGGAGGCATTAAAGCCTCGGCCACTGACGCTGCTGTCTGAGGAAAAGTGAATGAACATGGAATCTCCTGTGGAGTGGAGAGGACCTGGCGGGTCCCGACCACACACACTAGCCAGCACGGGGGACATGCTGGTTGCACCTGGGAACAAAAGCATGCACAAATCAGACCAGAGTAGCATGGTGCTGTCAATAAATCTATTTCAGCAACTCCATTCGGGATTTGCTAAGGATCATGTCTACAGAAAAGGCTTTCATAAATTACCATCTCTAATAACAAGGCTGTCAAAGAAGCAAGTGGGGTAGTCCTCCATATCCAAAGATAAGATGTTAAACTCTACAATCGAGTCTGGAGAGCGAATCAACCAGGTACACTCCTGGTTAAGTGGGTATTCTTCAGGCCAGCCAGGAGAATAGAAGAAGCCAGGATTCTCCCCTGCCATTAGCATTCCACCACATGAACCTGACAAACAGAAACACACACAAATGGTTTACTAAGAGGGAACACATGCAACAATGACTTATTAAACCTTGAGTTTGGACTGAAAAGATACATGTTTTTACAATAACTACATTTATTGTAATTTTCACTTAATAAGTGTTAGCTTCTTTCAAACATCAACACTTTACTTCACTCAATTAGCAGAGTAAACTTCAAATACTATTGCATAGTCAAATAAATAGTAGGAGTTAACAAACAAATTCACTGGTATATGCTGCTGTCCACACATTTATACATAACAAATTATACATCCATTATCCGTTATGTTATATTATCTTAAACGTGTTCCTCTCTTTAACTTTTGGAAAATAATTCCCTTATAAATGAATCACTCTGATAAAGAAAAATCAGCTAAAAATCTAACTTTCTATCCAAGATGTTATCATTTTCAGTATGTGTAACTGATGAAATACATCAGGATTAGCTGAAATACTTGCAGAAAAGAAAGAATGCATTATTTGAAATGTAGTTTGCTTGTTTGTCTGCAAAAAAAGCTTTTAAAGTAGCGTTTCAGACTAAGCAATGTGATGGATACAAAAAATATTCAAGTATTTAGAACTTGACGATGTTCCTGCTGACCCACTGACCAAGGCTCAGTCAGTATGAGATGTTAATTTCAGCAGCTGTCAGGTCTTATAGAAGCCCTGAGGCTGCAGGGTGTTTTCTTAAATCACATAGATTTTAGAGGGCGTAACACACTTTAAATTAATAAAAACTAAGAACCAATGGATACAATTACAGGTTTCCCATAAGAAAATATGCATTCTCCCAGACTATTTTTGCTGATTGACTGCTTTCTTTTGGTTTTAACATAATGTTTTGAGAAAATTAAAAACAAACTTATGTTACACAACTACTCAATCAACTACTTCAAATGATGCGGATGTGAATGAACACAAATGTCTGGGTAGGCTGGATGATATGCACATGGATGATAACTTTAACTCTAAAGCATTCACAGCAAGAACTCTATATTCCTTAAATGCACTTTTATTTCTACCAAATCAGATATTTTAACATGGTATTATAAAGCAGACAGTTGGTTATTCTTATTGGGGCCTCATATTAAGTGTGATAACAGGAATGTTTATGGTAAACAAGGCAAATCAGTATACTTTTGAAGGCTGTCCACACAGATGCAGACAATCACAGAAATTTGCATGAATTCTAAAGGGTGCAATATGACGCTCAAAACTAATTAGTTTAGTTGTAGCAATACTTTTTGAATGCAGACTAACACAAGCAGAAAAATGACATGCACACACAGAAAGTGTTTTTGCATCTTAAATAGTTACTTCATAATAACTTGTGTTTGCAAGTAAACATGACTTGAAGTGTATTTTGAGACTCCGAGTCTTTGTTACTCTTTTATGAGCAGGCTGTGTGCTTCCATAATGCAGATGACTTAAATCCAACTGTTTCTGGATGCATTTTGGAGCAACCTGGCTGCTGCTATTCTAATACTGTGCTTACCCATGCATGTTCATTTTGTAAGAAATTTCATGTCACTAGAGGTGAAAGTTGAGGCCACATGTGTAGTATATACGTTGCTTTTCAATGTGGCCGTATTTCTGTATTTCCATGGGAAAAGTGATTTTGAAACCTGTGTTAGGCTACAAGTGTTGTGTTGTTGACATTACAAGGTTAAAAATCATTAATTGTCATGTTGTTGTGTTTTACCTGGTAAGATAGTGGGTGGTGGTCCAGAGTCCTGGACTGCACTCCATTCAACAAGAAAGCCTCGTCCGCCAATCACTGAATCTGATTTGAACTGCAGGGTGACAGTGCTGCCAGAACTCCTTAGGGCAGGGGGCAGATCCAGACCACAGAATGTCCCGATGGGATAGTAATGAACACTGGAGCCATCAAAGATCTGGGAACAACCGAGGATTAATGGTTGAATGGATAAAGTATCAAATCTATGTACAGCTCTTTGATCTGTCATCAACATTTGGCTTTCATCACGGCTCTGTTCTCTCTCTGATATATTATGTAAACTAATGTACACTGATGAAAAAAATGTTTACAGGACACAGTTTAAGTGATCCTGTTGCACAATGTCCTACAATTAACAGATGAAGAATATGATATATATATTAGTATAAGTGACACTGCCATAAAGTATATGTAGTGTATATTAATATACAGTATAGTGAAGGCTGACCACTTTTCTAGATTTTCATGTACATTTCATTAAATGTTTCAGCTTGTTTACTCAAAATGTTCAGAATCTACCACAACGTCACTGGTGCTCAATAGAAAAGTCTGTCCTGTTGCAAACAGTTGCTATAAAATTTAGATTACATTAAGTGAGACAACACCTGCAATGCACAATGAGACATGATACAATTACTATCCCTGAGACACAGTGGCACAAATAACATTGTAAATTCCATACGTTAAATCAAGGTTACAATGCGATATCATGCAGAATCTTACTTTGATGTGATCATAGTAGCATTCATACAGGTCCTCAATGTCCATGTCCAAGAAGCGGATTTGGATGTAGCTGTCTCCCTCTACAGTTATGGTCCAGTGGTAGTCTGCATTATTTGGGTATGTTCTGGGATACAGTGGGGATGCTATCTGGCCAAACTCTCCCATCACTTCATTACCATACACTAAGAAACAGTGAGGAAGTCAAGAGTTAAATTTCTTATTCCCTCTCTAATTTATTATTAACTACCAAGTTATCTATTTAGTGATCAGACTTAATTACTGAATAAACAGACATCTTACAACAAATCTTGCTGATACAGTTACATCAGTAAGACGAGTAATAACAATGAGAAAAGAATAGAGGGTGAATTAAGAAGATGGAATGGAACATTTCAATGGTAAATAGTCTGTATTTATAAAGCATTTTTTTAGTCTTGATAAATACAATTTTGCCATTCATGGTGTTAACATTGACACTCACAGTGTGAGAAGGTGGCTCTAAATCCTGCTCCACTAATTGACGCATCTGAGACAAACTTAACCCACAGGATGTGACCAATCACAGAGGTGTAGTTGGAGGGGAGCGAGTTCCCGCAGAAGCGACCAACCAAAGGCCCAGTGGAGTTGCCCTCTCTTATTTCTAGGTAGTCATTATCACATTCAGAGTCTCCCTGCAGGTGAAAGATACTGAACACAAAGAAAGATTGTTACTGGTATCCAGTGGTGAAGTATCTTTTAAAAACAAAACATCAGTCAGATCAGATTTATTACTGGCAAAGTCCTATAAAAAAGTAATGTAAAGACATTTAACTGATGACTGTGCAGCAGTCATCTCATCATCCTCTGCCAACAATTACTATGCAACTCAGTTTGTTCTTAATGTCTCTGCTGAGGTTTATGAATCAATCAGCAATCAAAACATTAAAATTAACTTTTATATAACATTAAGAATATGCCATCAAAAAATAAGGTATATAATAAGTATCTGACCAAAGCTGGATTTTGAAACTCAACACAGCTATTGGTCAGAAACTTGGAATTTGGAATTCTGGATTTTTAAAGTGACATTGGAAGATGCTGAACATTAATCTGGCTGATACTGTCCAGCAAACTGTTTATGTCAAAACAATATACTGTATCTTTGCTGAATGAATAGTGACCAGTATTATCAACTAGGCGAATGCATCACACAAGATCTACATATTATACACATACTTCCCAGTGTCATAACCCCGATGACAAAAAAACATTTCTCTAACCTTTACTCCTACCTGACCCAGAAATCATTTAGACAGTATAACTGATGGTTTCTGAAAAAAACTAATTGTGCAAAACCAAGCACAAAATACTCAATCAGCAGAAATTTCGCCAATCAATATTGGCGATTTCCTGCTTTATCCGTTTGAGATATTTTTAAACTGAATATCCATTATTTTAGTGTTTAACTGGCTAACAAAAAGAGTATTATGAGGATGTCACCTTTGTTTAAGGAAAATTGTGAAGAGTATATTTCCATTTTATATCATTTTACTTTATCACTTTACAGAAAAGGCAGTGAAGAGCCTTGTTAAGGCCTTCGACTGCTGCCTGAAGGACACTGAATCCATCGCCGACCTGGAAGGATGGTAAAGAACTATGAACAGGTCTGGACTCCCTGGAAAGTTCAAGGCCTGGGTCTACACCAGAGGAAACTTGCATCATAAAATCATAAAAATACTGTCTGCAGATTCCAAAATCTCTCACTGAACAAGGTAGCACTAATATAGCCCAGAAGTAAAAACAACTAGAAATAAGAGGACTCTGTTTGCCGCTCTCAAAGTGCAGGTGTGTCTTGAGTGTAGAATCAGAACTAAATAAACAGACAGCATCAGCTCTCTGTGAGCACCAGACTAAAACCTCTGTATTGAGAAGATGTCGGAGGTGACTATCAGAGTTACCCAGACATAGGTCTAGGAGGGCACCATCTGACAGATTAAGTTTGACAGTGGTATGTGATAATTTAGTAATACCGAAAGTACAGCATTTCAGTCATGATGACACCTCAGCATGTTCCATTTGGTGGATAACTTTGTGGGATTCTGTCGAAAGCTTGAGCTCCTACTAAAGTAACCTTCAGTTTAGAATATTTAATCAGAGATATGTGCCTGAGGTCAAGAATCAACCTCCACACTCAAACTAACATAAATGAGAGCTGAAGACGGTTTCCTGGTGAGCTTTTGATGGTCCACACACACTCCACATTAGGCGGATAAGCATCTGGATAGTTGGGACTGTTAAATGCACCACTCTCCATCACCAGATCTCCTCCACAACCTGAGCAGAAGAATTAAGAAGAGTGTTTTTGTCCTGGAGATCCTGTCAATATCAGTGTATATGCATGAGAACAGAATGATTTTTTAATTTTCAGTCATCAGTTCTAAGCTTTATCATCTATAACTAAGCAGGGTATCCCGGTATCTCTTACTGGACGTGGAAGCTGAGTAGGTGGCTCTGAAACCTTTTCTGGAGACGGAGTGGTCAGAGATGAAATTGACCACCATGGAGTTACTGAAGGATGTCACCGGGTGAGGTAATTCAAGGCCACAATAGCGCCCTGACAAAAATTTATATTTTCATGTAAATGAACAAGCTGTTGTATTCAACTACATATTGCACACACATACACACACACAAAGTAAAACTACCGATAGATGGCGCCTGGTAGTTGTCTCCATCCAGGATCTCCACAGCATCATGGGAGCAGTTGGAGTAGATCATTTCTAACTCAAAGTCAGTGAATGACAGGGTCACATGGTTGACTGGCCACAGAAAGAAAACACAACAACTTTTTTATACATCATTTATACAACAGCAGGGTTTTTTTTTGTCGAGCTTGATAAAAGCAGCTCACATGGTTCCTGTGCTCTGATGATCCAGCTACAGTTCTGATTGGCTGGGTACGGTGCTGGGTACTGTGGTGATGCAATGGCCCCACCCTCATTGTTTGTAATTATTGTTGAACCACAGGCTGTTGAAAACAAAATAATATGGTCAGCTTCCTTCAAACCTCAGCCACCGGACAACAGTTCACCTACAGTGGGTTTTTGTGTTTTATAGTGCAACAGACTTACAGAGGGAGAATTAATGTAGGTCTGAATGAGACAGAAACTCTTCTGTTTTCCTAATAACTAGTTTTTCATTAATCAAGTTTATGTTGATGAGTATATTGTTATGTAAACTGATTAATTTCTCAGTACAATGCTGAGTAAATGCAATAACAAAATATCAAGAGCACAGCCATTGGTGAATTTTCAAAAGTCAAATTGAGATTCAGATTTGGTTTCCCTCTCCTTTAAAATTCATTGTAGAAATATTTTTTCTTAGTTACAATACATACACAGTAGGTTATTCAGTTTTGTTAACTTAAGTTGATCTCTGTAAATTTGTGCAGTGCAAATAAGGTGAACTTGTATTTCTTTTATATATATTGTAATCAAGTAGCTGTGTTTGAGATCAGATGTGTGCTTTGTGTACACTAAAGTTAACAGTACTGTAGGCAAGCAACTGTGATGTTTTGAAATTCTTACAATCTGAATAGTGGACTGCTGAATTAAAAGATGAAATGATGGGTGATATTTCACCCATGTTCAAATGAACGATACTGAATGTAAAGAAGACTCACCCTCGGAGAAGTGAGCACTAAACCCACGGTGGCTGCGACTGGAGTCAGACCGAAAGCGAACAGTGATGATATTCTGGGTGGAGGTAATGGAAGGAGGAAGACTGGTGCCACACACACGGGCAAGGAGAGGAGAATATATGGTTGGACCATCATGGACCTACAGAGGGACAGACATATGACTCTGGAAAAACTGGCTTAAAAGTCACTGCATTTACACTCCACACTGCAAATATTTGGACAGCTACACATTTCCACTCTTCAGGATCTGTGCTTCAGCACTTGTTTAGCCCTCCCCTGTATTCACCAGAGTCAATTACGGCCCTCCTAAGCTAAACTATTCTTTATGTGCTGATCTGTCAGTTTTATTGGCTCAGTTCTACTCTATCCTTCCCTTGCTTAGTGTCTTCAAAATCTACATTGACTCAGCTGATTTCAAAATTGAAACAGAAATCCTGAAACTAGGGCAGCATACAGCTCACCTGGTAGTCATCCCCCATTTTTTCTGTCCAAGACTGAGACGTTTCATACTTGACACACATACTATCTTTTTCTTCAAAGTAAATGTCATGAAGCACAAAGAACAAAAAAAATTATTTTACAAATACTTGGGTGGGTGCACCCTGGACTATATATTGTGCTTTTCAACTATGATGGACAGATCACTTTGTACTTTGGTTCTTATTCACCCATTCAAATGGGATCTGCAGGCTCAAATAGATAAACAACAAATTGGGTTACCCTACTCTCTTGATGGATCAGCTGTTCCTAAATCAATCACTCACATCCACATAGTCCCAGGAGCAGCTGCTATGATGTTCAATGTCCAGGTCGGAGAAATTGAAGAGAATACGATGGTGGGATTCTACACTTATGACCCAGGAACAGTCCACATTATTTGGATAACTGCTGGGATACAACGGAGAATGGATTTCCCCTGATGGAGCAGTGACTGGGCCCCCACAACCTGTAGGAAAAATGACAGTTTATTAAAGGTTATGGAGAGTGTGATCAGTGCGATCCCAGGCACGTTGCATCACAATACATTTAATGTCTCTCTGTGCGCACAAACATTAAGCATAAACAAACTTTACAAAGTAAAACAACACAGGGATCTTGCGGTAACTTGCGGTAAGTAACTCTGTGATGGTAATAAATCATCTTTTAAAATGTTGAACTAAGTTCAAAGTTCCAAAAATGAACTAGTTCACATTAATTTGATAAAAACATTTTATTGGGATGGTTATGATACAGATGACAAAGTTACAATCATGTATTTAGTCATTAATCGATGGTGTTAGATCATGAATCCGGATCTCTCCGGGCAAGCCAGTGTTAAATGGTTTGTTTTAAATAGCGTTTTTCTAGTTCTTATGAATACCCAAAGTGCTTTACAATACAGTTTGCCATTCACACATTCACACTCATACAGTGCATCTATTAGCAGCACATTTATTACTATGAGGGGCAATTCGGGGTTCAGAATATTGCCCAAGGACACTTCGGCATACAGATTGGGAAGACTGGGATTGAACTGCTGACCTTCTGATTGGAGGACGACCGCTCCACCCTTCAGCCACTCAGTGTGGAAACAAACACTGAGTAGACTTCATGTACTGATCAGGTCCTAATAATTTGTGATGAGTGTTTATTAGTTAAAGTGAGTACAGGTCAGCAGGAGTGTGGAGGGAGGACACAGGAAACTCCAGCATGGTACAAACCAACCTTCTGATCATTGCGCAGCTGTGGGTCCTGGGAATAACTCCTGTATTTTCACTTTTTCTTGCCACTGTTCTTCAACAAAGTAATTTACCCACTGGTTCATGTTAACGGGCTCTACTCCTGTCATCTTACTGTTTGTGTCACCCTGTGTGAGTGAGTGGGGGTGGGGCGAGGCCCCGGGGCCTGTGTGTGTGTGTATTAACTCCGCCTTGCTCCCAGCCTAAGGTATCTGGGAGCCCACATACACATTTTCACTCGCTCCTGGTATTTCACATGATGGGCTACCGATACGATTATGATTTTTTTTAAATGGTGTTGTAAAATGTACAGCATTCACTGTCGCGGAAGTGAACACCGCTCACATTCATCATTTGTAAACTGATTCGGAGTGGACGGAGCAAGCCCCTCTTCTATCTTTTCCATATCCCTGTTCCAAACATCTATTTCATATATGGTCCCCAGGTAGGGAACCTAACCTAACCACTGTGGCTGGTCTTGTTTAACCTTAACCCTAACCCCCACTGAGATGCCCATATGTACATTCCAACAGTTTATAGTCAAGATTGTCTATCTTCTGATTGTACTTTTTCCCTTTTAACACCACTCATGTGATAAGGGACAATATTTACCGTCTTAAGTAGGTCTAAAAACACATTCAAATGTGGGCATTTGAGTACTATATGAATACAAATTTGATCAAATGTGAACATGACATTTAATGTTGGTTTACATTGCTTTTAAAGGATTTTTACCTTTTCTAACTTTTTGGGGTTTTTAACATCCTAATTTGACACTTTTTAGTCTGGATGCCACCTCAAGGAAACTTATGAACATGTCACTTATAAAAATTGTTACCACTCTGCCATCCCAATAGTACAGCTCCTACTATATTGTGTAGTACTGTGTGGCACAGACAAACAATAATGTCCACCTACCTCCTGGGACTTCAGCCCAGCTTGCATTAAAACCTCGACCGCTGACATAGGCATCAGACTGGAAGCGCACTGTGAGCAGGTTACCAGTGCTAGAGACTTGCATTGGGCTAGATGTGGTGCTGCAGAGTTTGGCTAGCTGAGGGGCTGACAGGTCTGGGCCTCCATACACCTGAGAGAATGCCACAGATAAAGGTCAAAGGGCTGCAATAGTGTTTAAAAAGCAATCTATGACATATAATGTGTTGCTGTGTTTGTTACTAACAACCTAATGACTTGTGTCCATACTTGTCCTGCTGGATCTTAGTGTTACATTTGACACCATAGATCATAAGATTCTTTAACAGAGACTTGAACAACATGTAGGGATTAAAGGAATGGCACTAAGCTGGTTTAAGTTGTGTGAGATAGATTCCAGTTTGTTAATTTTAACAATGCCTCCTCCATGCACACACAAGTAAGTCATGGAGCTCCAAAAGGTATTGTCCTTAGACTGATACTTTTCACTTTATATATGCTTTAGGCAATATCATCAGAAAGCACCACATACACTTCCATTGTTACGCAGACGACACCCGGCTGTCCAGTGAAGCCTGATGATTCGAATCACTTAGCTAAACTTCAGGAATGTCTTACAGTACATTAAAGCCTGGATGACCCAGAACTTGTGCGGACAGGAACTAGAAGAGGAGATAATATTACTCCTGTCTTAGCTTCTCTTCATTGGCTCCCTGTAAAATTCAGAATATAATTCAAGATCCTGCTCCTCACGTATAAAGTCTGTAGCAAACAAGCCTCTTCATATATCAAAGAGCTCGTAAGACCTCATTATCCCAATAGATCACTTCACCAAAAAACACAGGCTCTCTCGTGGTTCCAAGAATCTGTAAGATTAGAACAGGAGGTAGAGCATTCAGCTACCAGGCTCCTCTCCTGTGGAACCAGCTCCCACTCTGGGTTCCAGAGTCTGTAAGAGTAGAACAGGAGGTAGAACCTTCAGCTACCAGGCTCCTCTCCTGTGGAACCAGCTCCCACTCTGGGTTCTGGAGGCAGACACCATCTCAGCATTTAAAGTTAAACTAAAAACGTTCCTTTTTGATAAAGCCTATAGTTAGTTCTGGATCAGGTGAGTCCTGAACCATCACTTAGTTATGCTGCTATAGATCTAGACTGCTGGGGGAACTCCCATCATCCACTGAGTACTTCTCCCCTTCTCTCTGTCTCTTTATGTAAAGTGCCTTGAGATAACGTATATTATGATTTGGTGCAGTACAAATAAAATAGAAATTGAATTGAATTATACTCAAGGCTACATTTACGTTCTCTTCCATGTTTTAAAGGGGGGGTGAGGTGAGGGGTATTCAGCTGCAACACAAAACTTTTACCACTAGATGTCACTAAATTCTACACACTGAACCTTTAAGATAATTACAATTGTGAGATGACATGAATTCACCATAGAAAAGTTGAACAGTTTAGCAGTTTTTATGAACTATATATTGCACACTTAAACCATAGCTAAAAAGAGTGATACAGGTCCCCGTCTTACCTCCAGCACATCGTAGCTGCAGTCTTGGTGGAACTCCACATCAAACTCATAGATGGTGAGGGTGATGCTGCTGCCAGGTGATGTGGTGATATACCAGATACACTCTCTGTTTTCTGGATACCGGTTTGGGTAGTCTGGGCTGGTAAAGGAGCCCCTGGGACCAGAGAGCTCTCCACCACAACCTGAAGGTCAGAGGGCACAAAAGAGCAATGGTCAAGTGGGCAAAAACATCACTTAAAGTGTCCATATTTTTAATACAGTGAAGATCAAGGCTCAACAACTACTGTTATACAGGAACAAGGAACAAAGGTCATATAACCACTTGACCTTAAATTCTAACAATACAATGGGTGAAGACTACATCAAACTGAAAGATTTATTTAAACTCTTCCGTGTCAGCAAAGACACATTTTCTGATGACATGACATGACTTTTACCGTACTCTTTTTCCTTGTCTTTGTTTTTTCACTTTAATTGATGAAGACCCACCATGTAAACCTCTCTGAAATTCTACAAAACCCTTTTTGTTTGGTTATCTGTATCAGTATCATTCAAATGCTTGTCAATCATTTGGTACATGGTCACAAAGATAAATAATTTATCCAAATTCTGGCTGTAATACCCGAGAAATAGAATAAACAATATCTTATTCTTACCAAGTAGCCTATGAACAAGTTGATCAAGTCTTTAGTCTGGTAATTCTTGCTACAGCAATCTGAAGTCAACAGGTATCTGTTACATCTGCAGTGTCTAATTGGGGTAAAGCTGTCTCGGCCAGACTAATGTCACCGGAGTAAGCCAGATACGCTAATTCAAATTTTGTGGGACCAGCACCAGATAGTTACAAAGTCAGAGGAGAAAACAATTTACTCTCCTGTTTATCAAACTTGGAGGCTATAATTAATGATTTATTGTTACTCTATTTGTTCTACAGTACCACACAAAAGGACTGTTGGAAAGGGAAACATTTAATTATAATAACTGTATTTGTATAGCACTTATCTAAACAAAGTAACAAGTGCTTCACAAGAAAAAGAGTTCACAAAGCTCAACATGTCAAGTTAAATGTCCCTCACTACTTTAACTTCCCATGGGAGCTTCTTTTTCTTCTTATCCTTTCCATCTTAAAGAATGTATGCATCATTATTTATGGGACAGTTGATTGTGGTGGTAGACAGGAAACCCATGGAGAGACTTGCAACAAAGGCTCCTAGCCTGAGTTTGTAATTATTCAAGATCATATACAAGTCATATACACAATAACAGACACAGCAGTGTATTATTGGGTAGTGAAATTCTTAATTCTTAATTATGGCTTATTAGGTACACCAAAAACTATTTAAAATATTACAGGTTTAGCAACATGAGGATGAAACAATTAAGTTCTAATTTAACAAATTTTAATTAGGTCTTGCAGTGAACCTGTACATTGCAAACAATAATTTTCCTTAGGATTCCCAAACTATTAGTGCCTCATGACAGGAAAGCAAAAATATTTAGAGGGAATGAAAGTAGGGAATGTGATTGTCCACATCGTGTCCAAAGGATGCTCCTCTCTTATTGTATATTTTGAATCGTATAGATCTCTGTATGTAGTGTCTTATTGATGTGGTCTGGCTCACTTACCATTCTGGTACCACATCATCTGGAACCCAGACATTGATGCAGAGGAGTCTGTTCTGAACACCATCGTGAGGGCTGAGCTTGTGGTGCTGTTGGCGGTGGGGGGGCGGTATCCACAGAATGTACCAATAAGAGGAGCATTTTCGTCAGGTCCATCGTAGAGCTAGGGCAGTAACATTCAGAGGAGGCATGAGTGGAAAATATCATACACAGCCACACCACCTAACAATAGTCAACATTGGTCATAGTACTATGACCATATAAAGATAAAACATTTTAAGTCCACTTTGGAAAGATCGATTTAGATGAACTGGAAGTACAACTAAACTAATACGTAGAGATAACCAGTAGCACAGAGCACAATAAAATGGTTGTGTATTGGGAAATATATCCAATTTTAAATGTGTGTGTGATATCATTAAAATAGAATAGACCATA